CAGCTCTTCACGGCGAAGGACACGCTGGCTCGAGGCAGCGCTGGAGGCGAGCAGCAGCCAGGCCGATGGCAGGACTGCCAGTTTGGACGGCATCGGCCGCCGCGTGGCGGCAAGGCTCCAGCGCAAGCGAGGGCCTCAGCTCTTCATGCCCGACGACGAGGGCAGCGTGCTTGGCCTGCCGGTGCGGCACCGTGCGCAGTGGGTCGGCGGTGACAGCGCACTGCCTTTCGCATGCGACCGCTGCGGGGTTCGCTGCAGGGACCGCGCCCAGCTGGAGGCGGCGCTGTGCCGCGGGACGCCTGCTGCCGTGCTGGCGGCCGACGCATCGCACCGACTGATGACCATGGGCGACGTGGTGTTTTGCAGCGCATGCGGTGCAAGGGCGAGCGGAGGTGCGGCCGTCCTGCTGGCGGCGAAGTGCCTGGGCAAGATAGCCAACGCCACTGCGGGCACGAGGCTGAATAAAATAAAGGCGGGGACGCACCCGATCAAGGGCCACTTCATCGGCGAGCCCGTCCAGCTGGAAGCGCGCCTAACGGAGGCCCCAGCGGACGAGGTGCCGACAACGGCATGAAGTTCGTGGGCGGCTCGCCGCCCAGTCTGGGCACTGTTGCGGCCGTTCGGCCTGCTGGGCGGCAGCGGGAGGGCGCTGGGCGGCCAGCGGCCCCAGGCGCTGCGCGGAGGCGGCCTGGGCCGTGCCGCGCCTTCACCGAGGTGGGTTGGCAGCTGAGGCCGTAGGCCCGTGCCCGCCCGCGCGGCGGCGGCGGTCGGTGCCGTGCCGCGACCGCCGCGAGGGCGTGCCGCGCTCGCGGCGGCGAGGCGGGGGGCCGCTACGCCGGTGGGGCGCTCGGGCGGCGCGCCGAGACAGACGGCCCGCCACGCAAGTGGGTGCGGCTCCTCCTTGACCTCATTCTCGTCCGTGTCCTTGTCCCCGTCCTCATTGGAATTGAAGGTTATATGACTCAGCAGTCGGAAGTGGAGAAACGGGAGACGGATTCGGAACCTGGGGTTGGAGCTGGAGCCGGAGGCGTTGGAGCCAGAGTGGGACGGGTGGGTTGACTGTTATGAAAACCCGGGATCACTTATGAAAACCCGGGGTCGATTATGAATAAACCATTGCTGCTGG